TCTCTCTAAACGCAGAAGAGGATGTTGGTTGGGTTGACAGGGGCACGTTGGTATTTGGGTGTGGTTCACTCTTTGGTGGGGGTCTGGGCTTGACCGGATGCATGGAAGATGAACACTCAGAGTTCTCAGCCTGAGTAGCATTACGTTGAGCCTTCCCTTTCTTTGATGCCACTGTTTTAGGTCCCCGTTCAGCAGATAAGGACCTGTCCTCAGTGTCCAAAGTGTCAAAGGAGGGCAAAGTAACGCTAACAGCAGTTAAGGAAGAATCAGCAGTTTGTTCACTATCAATGTGTTCCTCATTGGCAGTAGGTTCATTACCAGGAGTTAACCCATCACCAGCATGTCTAACGTAACTGACAGTGGGTAGACAAGAAAGAAGTTGTTTACTACTGCCTGAACCATCAACAGAAGCAATGGCAGGAGACTTGCATTTTTTCCCATCACTAATTGGCGTTCCATCAAAGACAAAGTTGGTGCTGTTTTGTTGGTTCTTTTTTTTAGTGTTCCTCTTACCTTTGTTCCCCATAACAACAGACAAACGCACTAGCACCAAGCAACCAAAACAGACCAGAAGCTAACACAAAAAAACCAGTTCAGGAAAAGACCAAAAACAGCAGCACAATGCCAAAAAGCCAATGTTCAGAGAGTTCAATCCACGTAAAACAAATTCAGGAAGCCAACAAGATGGAGTGGAACACCTTTAAAATATGCCCAAGAGTCCAAGAAAGGTGGAGCAGACCTGAGGATAGTCGAGTTTCAGAACCGCAAAGTGAACAGTGGTCCGAATCTCAATGTTTGCCCAAAAGTGAAGATTCTTCGTTTGGAATTGAAACCCAATGTAAGAACCTCACTTTCTCATTCAAGTCCCAAAATCAACAGGATAGAGCTCGTATATCAATCTTCAGTTGAAGACCATCCTTTAGGAACTGAAGGGGTAGCAAGGACTGTTCTTCCAGCGTCGCTACCCTAGAGAGAAACCTTTTGACAGCTCTTTTGAGGATATCAACTGTTCCTTAGAAAAAAAAGGTGGATACAAATCAGTACTTTAGGGATGGAACGCCAATTAGTGATGGGAAAAAGTGAAAGTAATATCCATCCCCAAAGTACTGATAAAATAACGTTCCATCCCGGTAATATCAGTACTTTAGGGATGGAACAGCGTTCCATCCCTAAAAATCCTTAAGATTTTAACGCCAATTAGTGATAGGAAAACGGCGTAAAAATCCTTAAGATTTAACATCATTTTTACGCTGTTTTAACGGCCTTTAGTCGGGGGGACTGAATTGAGCATTATTGTCAATTAAAGAATATTATCTCGATAATTAGTTAATTTGGGAGACTAATTTGGAAAAATATATAGTTATTGAGTACAATTTTAGAATTTTACACTACTAGTCATTACGATGTTCGTGCCTGGAATTGCAGTGCAACATATTGGGGCGATTTTCAGATTAGTGCATATTTGGGGAAACCATTCCCAATTAGGCCATGTGTAATGGGGGGCTTGCCAGGGGACTTGACGTAGTTTAAAGATGTATGATGCAGAGTGATGAAAAATGTGTTATTGTGAGTGTGAAGAAATGTGATGAGGTGTGGATGTGTATTAAATTTTGATTGGTTGAAGTTTAAGAAAATTGGGAACGACAGGATGGCCCCCGCACAAGAAGGGGCGACGCCCTCCTCACAGAACTTTGTCATGTTGAATGGGAGTGTATGGAGCGTGAAGGAGGAGGTCAATCCTCCTCACGCCACCATAACATACAACCTTAGTGAAAGATGTTATCTGACACAACTGGACTGATCTGACGATAGACATCATGGTAGGCCCTCTACTGTCAAACTATTTTTTTGTAATAATGGTAGAGCCTTCACCGTCCTAAGACGTTCTTCCTGGTTACTACACACTCGGTCAAACATTAATTTTTTAAATTATTATAATTATTATAGTACTTTCTTCTTCTTCTGTCCTAAAATGTTCTTCCCAGTTACTACACACACAATCAAACTTTAATTTCACACCTACAATCAAATAAATTAAATTGAAAATAATGTCAGTCAAACTTCGTAAACAGAAAGGACAAGAACGTTTTAGGATGAAGAGGGTATACTTATCTTCTTAAATTATTGTTTGTTATAATTTTTAGATACATTAAATTTTTAATTAATGTAGAAAATTTTATATGCCAATTTTATTTTATTTTTAATCTTTTTAAATAAGTCTTAATAGAAAATTATTAAGAGATGAAGATATTCAAAAAAATTAATTCAAAGAACATATATTGTGATTTTTTTTGCACACACATCACAACTTCATTACCCAAACCAATCCAGTCATTACATCAAAAGAAACTAATGCGCTGTGCTACTTTCCTTATACATCACGTAATTTCTAATATAAAGCAGTGCATACTCTATTGCTTCCTCTGTGGAGCATTTTTCCTGAAGCCTCTTTTTGTTCCTCATTCTCCATATACTGTATACACAGCATGCCCATACTGCAACTATCTGCATCTTTCTCTTTCCCCCATTCTTCTGTATCAAATCTTCCAAGTCTTGGAAATTCATTATCCTCACTTGCATATTATTACTGCTATAGCAGGTGGTAATAATCTTCTGAGCTTCTGGACATTCCCAAAACAGATGGATATCACTCTCTTCATTCTGTCCACGCAGCTCACACTCTGTATTAATACTGATGTATCTTCCAATTCTTACCTTTGTTTGTATTCACCCTCTCATGCCAAGTAATAAATTGGAACTTAGGAGGTGTAAGCTTGTTCCACACCATGTTCTTCCACCTGGGAGTGTTTCCAGTCCCTTGCAACCATTCATATCCATCAATTATGCTGTATTTTTTCTCTATTGGCATTGTCTTGGAAGTCTCTCTTACCCTAATCACCTCTTTCGAGTAAGAGCATGCATCTTGGCTGGGAATGTACTCCCAGAAATCTGCAATCTTGATGTACCTGCCATGTATCCATTTTACCCACAAAATATCCTTTTTTTCAGCTACTTCCCAATTTAGTTTCATAATGCCAGCTTTGTTCCAGTTTGCTGCATTCTTTATCCCCAAACCCCCATGTTTCTTCTTCTGACAGACCTCTTCCCATCTTATCAGTGGCACCTTCATATATTTATCTGAGCTACCCCACAAAAAGTTCATGCATATAGTCATAACCCTCTTCATAACCTGCTTGGGCAGAATAAATAATCTAGACCAGAACCCTAATGATCCCCATGAGTACTGAATTAATAATCCTAACTCTGGCTTGGTATGAGAAATGCTTTGTCCCCTATGCTGTGATCTTACATGTCAACTTGTTAATGAGAGCATCACAGTCATTAACAAGTACTATTAAAAATAAAAGTACAAAATTCATAGTTAACATACATATTTAAAAATCACACATATAAATCTATAACTTAACTAAGTACAACCACGACGCATTCCTGGTCGCATATCCATGCTATTAGAAAAATTGGTGCTCACTAGACGACCGACTTGTGACCTTTGCCCCGTATTTGGTTGCACTAATTAGTAATCAAGATTAGGCCATTCCATTTCATTTGGCAGTGGCATAACACTTTTGGATTATGCACTCAGGTAGCTTTGAAGTGAAAACACTAATGGAATTAGATCATCCACTTGATATTGCAATAACGACATATGGCATAGACGTGGACAAGTGACATGTAACACCCCAACCCGCGTGAACTGGATACGCGAACCAGCAAATTGGGTTTTATCCAGATTGGTATCCAAACATAATAATTTTCAAGACAATTTTAAATATTTGATTCAAAAAAACATTTATAAATCCATCGGAGTTAACAAAAATGTTGCAGAAGCTTTAAGTATTTAATTCAAACACAACTCTGGGGCTCTTGCCCAAAAACATACTAAATTCAATTATAATATTAAATTAAATAAACTCCTTCAATCAGCATCCATCCATCTCGTCGTCCTCGCTGGCCTCTAGGATTATTTCTTTATTCGTCATTCCTGTTACCTACGGGTAGCAAAGAAGAAAAAGGGTTACACACTCAACATTGAAAGTAAGTGAGAAATATCTAACGTTCGACTACGCGTTTAGATGAACTCACTAGTACAACATTAATAATATCACATAACAATCATCAAATAATATCAACTATGTTAACTATGTTATAACAATCACACTTCGTATTACTTACTGTAACGCCCTACGACCCGGTCTATTAGAATTCATTAATTTAATTAATTAATTACTAACTCGGACCGGGGTTGGGAAAATAAAATCCTTAGAAAAATTATTTGAACACGTCATAATATTCATCTTGACTGTCTGATTTCAAAAATGCAAACGGATCTCAATTCGGTCGGACCCGTTCGGGGGAAAAACCGCGTACCATTCAGGTCAGATTTTACATAACGGAGTAAAATTTAGGGAGATAACTCCCCATTCAGTTCTCTTCACGCCACACACACATTATCCCACTTAAATGCTTCATCATTCCTCAGTTAACTACCCCTTAATTCCCCTTTGATATAATCCTCCCTCTCCTCTTCACTTTCCCCACCATTGTAACCCCCCATCGATCTCCATACTCTCATCCTCTCCCTTCTCTTGCACTCGGCCAGTCCATAGCAGCTCAAGGAGGTTATTCCAGCAATTAGACAGGGAGGTAGAAGAGGAGAAGTTCACGCGGGAAGTTGTTCGTTCGTTCGTTCACCCATTCGTTGTCCACTGTTCGTTGTCCGTTTGTTAGTCGTTCGTCCATCCGTCTTCCGTTTCATCAACCCCTACGTTTAGAGGTGAGTACGTTGCCCTCTAACTTTGGAATTCTTAGTATAATCATATCGTTATAATCATAGGGTTACCCGGCTAAACCTTCGTGTATCCACGTTATCATGACTCTTCGTTAGTTAGACCTTTCGATTATGCATTTGATAAAATAAACGTGTGAAACCTTGGAAGTTTACCGATTATTTAACCTGGAAATGTAAACGTTCATTTCTAAAACTACCAACGTATTGATTGTAATCAACCAGACAAGACGAGAACCTGCGAGCCATGATAATCGATTTACAGGTCATGGTAATCGATTAACAGGCTACGCTGGACTCCTCATTGAATAAGCAAGGTGTGACAATCGATTATCACAAGGGTGATAATCGATTATCAGGCCCTGCGGATTCCTGAGTCAGAGTTGGTTCATCTGATAATTGATTATCACAGAAGCAATAATCGATTATCAGGCCTCTCTGAACTTGGGTTTCTTGGACAAAACCATCTGTCAATCGATTGTCATGAGGTGACAATCGATTATCATGCCCTGCGGGACTTTGGGAACAGAAGCTGCACAGCATGATAATCGATTATCAACAATGGATAATCGATTATCAGCCAGTTCTGAACCCAAAGTCACCACGTTAAACAAATTGTTTTCATATGGAATCAAGCATCTATGTGTGCGTTGAACTCAACTTCATTTTGTAATCAATGCATCCATATCATCATGTATATATCCTAGACGCATGTTTAGGATCATGGCATACTTTGCATACCGCGACAAGAGGTCAGGCCCAGTGCGCCTCTTCCGCAGGCCCGTCCAGGAACCTGCGGGGTCCAACGGGTTTTCAAAACGAGGGCTTGTGTACGTACATGGTAGCTAGGTTTAGCTATCACCCACATTCTAGTCTCCATCGGGATGACTAAGGCGTTCCTCGGCTCATCTACTGCGTGGGGATGATCACCGAAGGGCAGGGGGTCCCTGCGCAGTCGAACTCATGCATCATGATTATGTGGCATCTCGTACTTTAGTACAGGTACGATTATGTTTATATCAATGTGAATGTACTATGAGTTCTACTGTTAGATTACCACTCAGCTTTTGCTGAGCGTATAGCGTGGGTTTCCTTTGCTATTGGCAGGTAGGCGAGAGGATCATGGAGCCTGACCCGGACGACTGGGTGATCGGAGCGGCGGATGAACGACAGTGGGGACTTGTTTAATTATCCATTTAATTATGAAAACATTTTGGACTTGAACCCACCGTTGTAGCACTTATGTTATTTATGACTTAACAGTTTTATTTACATTCACTTCCGCTATAAACATTCTCCCCAATTGAATTTATTTCCATCATTAAATAATATTTATATCATGGGATTTCCATTACGAGTAACGCAAGGGTTTCCCTTGTAGGCGGCCTCAAAACCGTCTACGTAACCTCTCCGGCTCGTTGGACCGCGGTGAACCGGGTTCGCGGGACGGAGGGTGTTACACTTACCTTGGTTCTTCACCTGCATATGTTATTAACTCAATATTCAAGTCATTACAATGGCTCATATCAAACACTAGCTCATAACCTATTCTAGGCTAAGGCGAATTCTTCGCTATCCACAATCTTTTCTTAGGACTTACAGCCACTATCTACGGCCATGACTCAAGTCTACTCTATGACATCAGAACCACTACCAACGGCCATAATTCTAGTCAACCCGATACCTAAGGTGACAGTTGGCTGGAACCTCCAATCAATGTACGTACGTTTTTACCCGAATGTCACTGGACACTATGTAACGCCTTAAAAACCGTTCTAGAAGTTACTTACTAATTTAATAAATAAAAATTATTTATTTAGGGAATTTTGTTCTTTAAAGAATAAAAGGAAACTTCCGAGATTCTAATCGTCTAAATATAACGAGACTAATCGGATTATAATTGTAAAGATTAGAATTAAAGGACTGACCAGTATTAATTAATCGAGATTAATAAGATGGAAAAGGTGAAACTCATAAATGCTGGTCAATTGATCATAAAAGTTATACTGTTGAGTAAGGATCGACGAATCGAATGCAACGATGCAAATGGATCTCAATTCGGAGCAAGTTGGCCCGAAAAGCATGTTTTTACTCAGACACGTTATTTTAAATTATGGAGCACAAAACCCTAGGAGTTATATAAAAGGATTTTGCCTCAACGCGCAGCCCATTCTTCATCTTCTTCGATCGAAACCTCCGCCACCAGACCCGTCTTTCTCTCCGATCTAGCCGAGCAGCATCACAACGGTGGGGCGACGAGCCGGAACCCCTGCCAACCACAGCCCGCGACCACGGCGGCGAGGAAATCAGCGACGAATTCCGGCAGTTGAGTGGCAGCTTCAGGGGGCGCAGGTGACGACTCCAGCAAGCTCGTGGGTGGAGACGAAGGCTGCGACAGCCGGCGAACCGACGAGCTCCAGCGAGTCTTCTCCAAGATGAAGAACCGGCAGTCCTCAGGCGATCCCAGCTGTTCCATCAGCTTCCAGCGATGGCGGGCTGACCTGATAGATTTCAGAAACAAAATAATACATCGGCCAAGACGGGGGAAACCGTTCACGTCCGACGGTTTCCCTTCCCTCGCGATCTCCTTCTCTGGTGACCCAACGAGGTTTGGGCAACGGTTGGCAAAGTTCGAGCAGCAGGAAGATCCGATCAGCAGCAGGCATCGTACCCGGGGGCAGCGGCGATGCTAGTGGCGACTTTGGGTAACGACAATGGTGAGATCGGGCAACGGTGGCACGACCTATGTTAATGCTCGATCTGCATTCGATTGAATTGAAACGAATTGAGGTGAGTACGTGGACATCTAACACTAGAATATGCATATATGTTTGAAATTCCCGTTCATAATTGTTATCATGATTGATATGTGTGGAATACTTCGACGAATTGCTTGATTGTGGTTTTGGGAATTATATTGATTGAAAAGGGTAGAACGCATGATTTAGGCGTTGAGTGATTATTGAATATATCTATTTATGAATTTTTATGTTCTGTTGGGATTCATTGACGGATGCATTTAGCCAGATTTGGAACTGAATTAAGAACATACCCATGTGGAATTTTCAATGTTTAAATGTTGGTATGATGCTGAAAAACAAAATAGGTATGAAGCTTAAATCTGTTGCATCAGACGGTAGGCAGTACCGCCAGGATAGTACCGTGCTACCGTCACACTCTGTTTGTTCTTTCGCCTCTGCCGGTAGCTGCGACCGTACGGTACCTAGGTACTGGACGGATGGTAGGCCCTAGCACCCGGTCGGTAGACGGTTACCACGGTAGTCCTATGGGAAGGGTTTAGTTAGTTCGAACGGTACCCCAGTACCGTAGGACCGGTACCCAGGTACCGTAAGGGCGGTACCCCATACCGCTAGGGGTACCGTAAGGTACCTGAAATGGGTCTGTTGATATGTGTTTTTCGTCAAGGATTGATTCCGAGACCTTATGTGTTGTATGACGGTAAGTTTGGGTGTCAATACCCTATACTATCGGTCTAAGATCAGGTCGAAGTATTTTGCGAAACTCTTCAATGCGGTCAGCCGCTGTGCCCACCAGCGTGGGTGCAAATTGAGCAAGATGGACAAATCTTTGTCGGTATTCGGGGAGTTTCATATCTCCTTGCTTCAATTCAATAAATTCAGCACGCTTCTCTTCACGGAATCGGGCTGGGATATATTCTTTCTTGAACGCCCAATCAAAGAATTCCCAAGTCCAAGGTTTGGGTGTGTTTGGATTTTCATCAATGCGTTTCCACCATTCGCAGGCTTCCTTGTGGAGCAATTGAGATGCAAATTTTGGATGGTCAACAAGAGGTATGTTCAGATTTTGTAGTACACGAGCGGTCTACTCGATCCATTCAAGAGCGATCTGGGGTTTGACAATTCGAACTCCTCAGCACCATTATCTTTCAAGGTTTTGAAAGTGATCAAACGAAGTGGTGGTGGAGGTGGTTGAAACATAGGGGCATGAGTCATTTGTTGCAAGAAGTTTACCATTAAGGTAGGTAGCATAGCATCAGGTTGACCTCTAACATTTTGATCATTTTGGGGAATATTTTGTGGGTTCACTGGTTCATTTTGAATAGGAGTTGTGAAACAGGATGCTTCGAAATGAACATTCTCTTGTTCGTTGTTTGGAACTTGGTTACTTTGAGCGTGAGCAGTTTCTTGACTCATACTACAATAACTGAAATGCCTTCATTAGGATTGAATAGGCGAGTTGATAACAGATATCACTTTATTTCATTTATTCAATCAAATTACATCGATGTTCTCGATGGTAAGCAATTAAGTCACTAGACATTTCATAACTACACATCACTTCTTTCGACAAAATTGAGCTGTCCATCATTTCTAACAAGTAGGTTCTTTGACCGAACTAGTCGTCAGATTGTAGTAAAGGATAACGACTCTTGATTGTCAATTTTGTTCGAGCTCTTGACAGGGATTTGATAGTATCCTGACCGTAAGTCAATCTTAGAGAACACAATGGGTCCTCTAAGCTGATCAAATAAGTCATCGATACGAGATAAGGATAATGATTTTATTTGATGATATGATAGTTGATATAGAGTCTCATCGATCCATCTTCATTTGCGTACTCATTCGAGATGAACTCGATCGGTTTAATAATCAACTTTGCTTTCACCTCTATAAGGTTACCATCATTGGTCTTCAGTTGAAGAATTCTTCGTCAGGAGTTGTCAACAGAACGTCGTTTAGTCTGCCAATTCATACTAAGGATAATGTCAATTTCCTTATATGGTATTTTCAACGAGGTTTAGCAAGGAATTGTTGCTTAACGAATGATTTTGATTCACATGATACAATTGCATATTGTTTCGTAATGAGTTAGACATCAAAATGTGATACTTTAGATAACAGAGTTTTATTGATTGTAAACGTTCGTGTTTGAATCAGCGATCAGATCGTGTTGAGTCCACATGAGGATCTTTGACGTCGGCTTCATAGATGTTGTTCGTAAAATCAACATTAATTGTTTCTTTAGAGTCGTCTCACTTCCGTGCAACTTTACGATATCGATCAGTTTCGTTATTCGCGATGCGATGCGTACGTTGATAACGTATCAGGAGGTTATACACATTTCATTTATTCTTTTCTTCTCTTACCGAGCACGAAAATCAAACAAGAGTCTACGCTCGATACGATTTCAGTACGAACCAATTGTTATCTAATGAAAATTCTAACAGAGTCATTATTTACCAAGTAAATTCTCATACCTTTTTCCTGGAGCACAGGGATGCGAGAGTCGTGGATGTGACCAACATTTTTTTTAAATCAAATTTTGATCCAAAGATCGGTTTTAAAACCATTTGCTTTGATACCAAATTGTAACACCCTAATCCGTCCAGGTCTGCAGCCCCTTTCGGACTAAAATATTAACTTGGTAATCATAAAAATTTAAAACTTTTCAAACACATTTTATTTATCACAATAATATTTTTCATAACATATACAGTACAGAGTATTCAACAATATTGCGGAAGCGAATTTAATAATGACATATCATAAATCATTTCAAACTTGTCACATCCATCCCGACAATCTTGCCCCATCTGCCGCCGGGATCACATTAATCTTTCTGTTTACCTGCGTGTAGCAAATAAAACACACTACACGCTCAGCGGTAAAGCTGAGTAAGCATATCTAATGCGTCGAACATCCATATAAATTGAATCTAAATTCATAATCAAATCATTTGATATCATGCACACAATGTTTATTTCAGACATTCATAGTTTTGGTATGGTTCAGTTCATAACAACACATTTTATTCAATTTGGATATTATTTTGACAGTGCTCCTAAATTATTATTAATCTAAAGCCAAATAATAGTGATGGCTATAAACCACCAAATATATTAAATAATATAAGTTTTAGAGAGAGAGAATGCAAAGTAGGAGTTTATTCACTTAGAATTCCCCCCCCCCCTACAATGAGGGGTCTCACCCCTTTTATAGGGTGTACAATACAATGGGTCAAAGCCCTTTGATCGAGGTTCGTCGCTTAGCAGACATCACCTGTCCCTTAGTCTTGTCCCTTTCATCCTATCACTATCACTAAGTCCCTTTTGCAGGTCGATATCTTTACGTTGTTGTCATGTGGTTGGGGCTTGGCTTGGGGGCCGAGCTGATCCGGGAAGGCCGAGCGGAGCTCGTGCGCCGGGCGGAGATGGTCGAGTCGAGCTCGCGCGCCGGGTGGAGATGTTCGAGCTAAGCCTAGCGCTATCCCCTACAGTGAGGTGCCAGCTGACGTCAGCCCTAGGCTGACACGGGGTTATCCTCTATCAAAAGCTCCCACTCTCTGGGTTCCTTAGCAGCTGGCAATGGAACACACGAGAGTAGAAATATTATGGATGGGTGGCACGTGGGCCCACGCGTCGATCGGTGGACAAGTCGCGAAGTTTGGGTTTCCCTAGCAGGCGGCTGTGACGTTTCGTGTTCCCAAGTGGCGGCCAATCATAACACCCATTCGAGCCATTAATCCAACGAAGACCTAGACTCGCCTAGCATCGTCGAGTCCACTGGCCATTCCTTCGTCGGCGGAGCTGCTTAACCTTCTTCCTACCCTCCGCCGTGCCCCATGTATTTCCCCTTTTTCAGGTTGAATAAAGTATGACTGTTTTCTTAAGTTTCGCTCTTGCGTTCCAAATGTTACTTTCGTGCAAACTCACCCCTTGCGTTCGGACATCCGGGTGTGTGCTTGACCTTAGAGCGGAATGCGAGTGTTTGATCTTCATCTGGGGAAAACATCCGGGTATGGCCTACGCTCGTCTATCCTCTTGAGGAGGACGGAGCTGATCACGAATGTTGACCTTCATCAAAGAAAAACATCCGGGTATGGCCTACGCTCGTCCACCCTCCTGCGGAGGACAAAGCCGAGCGCGAGTGTTGACCTTCATCTGGGAAGAACATTCGGGTATGGCCTACGCTCGTCCACCCTCTTGCGGAGGACAGAGCCAAGGCGAGTGCGGACCTTCATCTGGGAAGAACATCCGGGTATGGCCTACGCTCATCCATCCTCTTGCGGAGGACAGACGAGCGCGAGTGTTTGACCTACATCCGGGAAAACATCCGGGTATGGGCTACCATACGCTCGTCCCCCCTCTTGCAGAAGACAGAGCCGAACGCGAGTGTTGTCAAACGAAGAGCATATTTAATTTTCACCAAGTCCATCTCTATAATTAATTAATTATTTCTAATCAATTAATTCTGATAGGCCGGGTTTCGGGGCGTTACAACAAACCTCCCGTAAAGTGTTCACAACACTTAACCACTCAAGAACAAAAACTCTCTTAAAGAGTAGAATCTGAGTAAACTAATTTAGATCAAGAACACACTCAATTCCTAAAAAAATGGCTCTAAAACGCTATGTAAAAAGTTTATGGAATGATGCAATTTAAAGCTATGAAATGGGTGAGGAATGGTTGTGAAAATTAGACCCAAAAGACCTCTATTTATACCCAAAAATGATGTGTAACGGATGGGAGTTGATTGGGGTTTAATGGCATGATTTGTGGAAATCAAATCAAAGTTGGTCTACAGAATTTTAGCATAACATCGCTGTTCATATAGTGAACATTGCTGTTTTGGCTTTGACTTTCCTTTAAAAATGGCTAACGGTCATCAAAACATCGAAGTCTAGAAGTCTACATCGATGTTGGGGTGTTTGACTTTCAAAAATGGAAAGATTTTGTCTTAAATAGCCCAACGGTCATTTGAAAACATCGCTGTTCAAAAACCCACTGCCCAGGACTTCTGAATGCCAACATCGCTGTTGGGAATTCCTACATGCATGTTGGGCTGGTTCGCCAGAACCATGGTTTGGCTGCCAACGCCGAAAACCGATGTCAAAAACCAAAGTTCTCCAAAATGAAAACCAAGTGTTGGAAACTCTTATACAATGTATTTTATGTAGAAACCAAGTATAAAAACTTAAAAACCACTTCATTAAGGTAAAAACCACGGCTAGCCAAGTTTATGCCGTTTCACATGGTTTTCACCAAAAGACCAAAAACGAAAGGTGGTTTTTAACATGTTTTTGTTGGAGAAGTATTTGGATATGTCCAGAAGTAAAAACCAATCGTAAAATCTTAAAAACCACTTGATTGATTTGGACGCCAAAAACCAACGCCGATAACCAGCGCCGAATGCCGATAACCAACGCCGAAAAAACAAAGGTTATGGTTTTTGAAAACTAATGATTTGGAAAACCTTTAAATGTTTCCAGAAGCAAAAAACCAAACATAAAAACCCAAAAACCATTTGGCTAAAATGAATGCCAATAACCAATGCCGAAAACCAAACGCCATAGCCGAACGCCGATAACCGATGGTTATGGTTTTGGTTGGGCAAGAACCGAATGTTTTAGAAACTTAGAACCATGTATAAAAAAACTCATTTGATGCATGAAAAACATATTTTGTTTTGAGCCATGACTTAGAGAAATTGAATGTAACACCCTAATCCGTCCAGGTCTGCAGCCCTTTTCGGACTAAAGTATTAACTTGGTAATCGTAACAATTTAAAACTTTTTCAAACACTTTTTATTTATCACAATAATATTTTTCATAACAGATACAGTACAAAGTATTCAAAAATATTGCGGAAGCGAATTTAATATTGACATATCATAAATCATTTCAAACTTGTCACATCCATCCCGACAATCTCGCCCCATCTGCCACCAAGATCGCATTAATCTTTCTGTTTACCTGCGTGTAGCAAATAAAATACACTACACGCTCAGCGGTAAAGCTGAGTAAGCATATCTAATGCGTCGAACATCCATATCAATTGAATCTAAATTCATATTCAATTCATTTGATATCATGCACACGATGTTCATTTCAGACATTCACAGTTTTGATAATGTTCATTTCATTTCAAACACATTTTATTCAATTCAAATATTATTTCGATAGTGCCCTTAAATTATTCTTAATCTAAGGCCAAATAATAACAATGCTCTTAGCTATTCTTAGTCTAAGGCCAGATCATAACAATGCTCTTAAAAAGGCAATTAATTATCAGACACTTAAACTATCATTAGTTTAAGGCAATTGATTTCGGACACTTAACTGTAGTCAGTTAAGGCAATTAGACACTTAAACTATCACTAGTTTAAGGCAAATGATTCAGACACTTAACTGTAGTCAGTTAAGGCAACAACAACAATATATCAGTTGATCAACATTGGATCAGGCATTCCCAAACGAGTAATTCTCTAGCTTGGTCTACGAATCCCGTTTATATGTTTTTATCTAATTCATCGAATATTCATGTTTCACAAATCCATACTAATATGAGATCTATTTTAGAGGTCTTCTAGATAGCCTTAACATCAATTCTCTAAATGTGTATATCTTAGAGTTCCTCTAGATACTTTTAACACTATAAATCATTTCATAATTATAAATGTATTCATTTTACTCATGATTCAATCATAAATACTTATTTTAATCAGTAGGTTCATTACTGATAATCATCCATAATATTCATTTATCAAAATCAACAATTAACATAACAATTGATAACAAATAGCGGCCTAGCTTCGAGTGTTAACACCCGAACATACCGTCATGAAACACATAACATTTATAGTTGTTAAAAACATCATTTTTATTGTGGTAAATCATTTTTTTTATAATGATCCTAATCAATTGGTATCAAAAATAGGATTTTAGAGCTCCAAAAATAGCAGCATTTTCAGACAAATTTTCGGATCAAGACTTCGGGGGATCGATCCAACCCTATGGATCGATCCATACTATGAAAAATCACTCCCAGGGGATCGATCCAAGCCCCTGGATCGATCCAGACAGTGGTGTTTCAGCCACTGTTCATCTTCTTCTTCGTTCGGGTCCAATTTCGGAAATACCGTTTTTAGTTATCGAACTTCAACGAAACTATATAAAGATGTTCTCCAAGGTTCATAGATCATTTTGGCATCATTAATTCATAGTTTTAACATCAATTCCATGGTTTATGATTCTTGGTTTTTCAAGCATGTCAAACACAAAACTCAACCAAACGAGCGTTTATGAACGTAGAAACGATCTATACGAACATTCTAGTCATTAGATATATCTACGGGCTTACCTTGAAGGTAAATGAAGGTTTTGAATATTTTCCGGCGAAACTTACGGCGACGATTACTCCCAACTCCGGCGAAGAATTGAGAATGCTTAGCTCCCTTTATATAGGGGATTTGAGGGAGAAGAAGACACTAGTTGGTGAGCGTAGGAAGATTCACAATCGGCTTAGTGCCCTGGTAGGTGCCATTCGCACAGTGTCCCTGATTGGGACCAATTTGGGTTCCAGTTGGGGTACACTTTTTGGTTCAACTTTCTCCGAATTGAATTCCGTTTGCACCGTTATGATCGGGCAGTTAAACTCTATCTATTGATATAATTTTTATATTTATTTGTAATACTTTTTCCGACATCATATTTTTTGGTGTTTGACTTTGACAGAGTCAAAATTGATTTAGTTGATCTTTATTCAAAAAGGTTTCTCACATTTAATTCATATAATTTGTTCTAATGATTTATTTCAATAAATCATTTCAAAGTTCACATCATAATAATTTCTTCATATATTCTTGATTTGGGTCTGTACACAGGTTCTCAATCAAGATCACATAATTAGTCAATATTTTGGATTTATCTCTATGAGACTTATCCTGATTGTAATATTCAATATTCAAACATATTTCATTTTGGCCCAAAGCCCAACAAACATTTATTCTTAATTAAAACAAATTTGATTAATTTATTATTTATTTATTAATAATTCTAGGGTATATTTTGGGGCGTTACATTTCTTCCCCCCTTAAAGGAATTTCGTCCTCGAAATTCTCCTAAGGTTCATAATTGTCATCATGACTGCGTCTCGTTCACATGGTTACGTTGTTATCTTACAGATACGTATTCTCAAACCGTTGATGTCACTAAACTAGTTCAACATTTAAGAGATTAACAAACTTCAATTAAGCAAGGCATTTATTGATCCTTTCAAAAGTTTCCTTCAGAGTGTGTAGTATTATATACTTGACATATTTGCACCTAGCTTTGTTAAATCACGAGTCTCGTTTGTACATCATTGATCAGCAGAAATCTTTTCTCGATCGAAAAGTTCCTCAATAGCATTTGTAGAAGGATCACGATTTAGAGAAAATTTTAAACCATACATCATTACGTAATCTATCAAATTACTCAAGGGGTCGTTGTCTTAGGGCCATAGTCGTATTTCAAGACAGCGGATCTAACTGTTCATGAGTCTCAATGTATCATATCGTCAGCAAACTGTAGCATTAGTGAACATATCATTGCCAGTAGGTAAATTGAATCTATATTTGCTGTACAAATTTCGGCTGAGGATACTTCCCTTTTTCTCAAAGGTCAGGTTTCAGGGCCTATATATATCACAATTGTGGCAAGAGTATCTCACATTCTCACAATATGGAAGGAACTTCTCGAACTTTTCCTTACACCATAAAATTTGTTGGTCTACTTGGTAGTCATGCTCTTGGTAGAAATCCAAGATTCATGGCTACGGCGGTAGATTTAGGAAGGGAATTGGTAAGGAGAAAAATAAGGCTTACATATGGAGGATGCAACGTTGGCCTTCAAGGAGCCGTTGCTTCAACAGTCTATAACAATGGTGGTATAGTTAGAGGCTTCATTCCAGGGTACATAGCGACACGACAGGTGTACGGACCTACGTATGGTGCAGAATACACAGTTTCCAGCAACTACTATAAGTATTTTGAGATGAATCATGTTGTGGAAGCCTTCATCGTACTTCCTGGAGGGATTGACACTATGGAAGGTTTGTTCACTTTGATCTCATGGGCATCCGAAGGGTTGCACAGTAAACACATTGGTCTTTTGAACATTGATGGTTATTTCAATAACCTAATTAAGTTTCTAGATGATGCGGTGAGGCAGAACTTCATGGCCTTGAATCAGAGGAAGCTTTTTATTTCTTCTTTCTTTATTGATGAACTTTTAGACAAGCTAGCATTTGCTAAAGCTTTTCCGGGTCCTAGGGCTAATTATGACGAGTTTGTAAATCCCAGGGGATTAGATTTAGAATTACATTTGTAATATTACTTTATCTATTTCCAGTTGAATTTATGATGGAATAATATTGTCTATGAACATTATGAGTTAACCATAAATATTATTCTAAGTTGCATGGCCAGTGCAAGTCAGAAAAATATCTATTTTCAACATCAGAATGCATCATGTAAATATCAAATATTTTCTCAGGATGAGTCAAATGAAAGATTTTATTATACAAAGTGTTCAATACACGAAGATTCTAGTAGTTACGAATATTCTTGGGATACAATCGAAAGATAATTTCTTGTTTACCTAAGGTCTCTACATTATTCAATATATCTCGAGCCCTTGTAGAACTTTAGGATCTTCACAGAGTATCATCCTTGGGTTGGATTCTTTGAATTGTTTCGTGTTTTAGAACGTTGACTTGTTCCTGAGCAAACAGGTTGATTTTGGACAGAAGTAACCGAATATGATTTAGGGTTAGAGGGACATTCTCGTTGGAAATGTCCAGGTTTACCACAACTTAGACATAATCCTTGCGCACGCCAGCAATCTCCTGGATGGTGTCTTTTACAAACGTTACACTTTGGATGTTTCCATACTCTCATTTTGTTCATGGATGACGTTGATTGAATTGTCATTGATTTTCCCTTTTTCGAGTGTAGGGCACTATCAATTTCTTGCAGAGGTCTCTTCCCACTTGTATTTGGTCGTTCATTTAAATTGACAATCTCAATCTTCAGACTTTCATAATAATCACTTAGATCTTTGTCGGCTTTAGAGATTAGGTCGTATGCCTCAATGAAATCCAGAGTTTGAATAGTAGATACGTGCGGCCTGAGATCAGGTCGAAGTCTTTTGCAAAACTCCTCAATGCGGTCAGCCGTTGTGCTCACCAGTGTGGGTGCAAATTGAGCGAGATGGACAAATCTTTGTCGGTATTTAGGGAGTGTCATATCTCCTTGCTTCAATTGAATAAATTCAGCACGCTTTTCTTCACGGAATCGAGCTGGTATATATTCCTTCTTGAACGCCCAATCGAAGAATTCCCAAGTCCACGGTTTGGGTGTGTTTGGATTTTCGTCAGTGCGTTTCCACCATTCATAGGCTTCCTTACGGAGCAATTGAGATGCAAATTTTGGATGATCAGCAAGAGGTATGTTCAGATTTTGTAGTACACGAGCGGTCTGCTCGATCCATTCAAGAGCGATCTGGGGTTCGGCAATTCGATCTCCCAAGAACTCCTCAGCACCAATATCTTTCAAGGTTTTGAAAGTGATCAAACGAAGTGGTGGTGGAGGTGGTTGAAACATAGGGGCATGAGTCATTTGTTGCAAGAAGTTTACCATTAAGGTAGGTAACATAGCATCAGGTTGAGATTCAAAATGTTGATTATTTTGTGAGTTCACTAGTTCATTTTGAATAGGAGGTGTGAAACTGGACGCTTCGGTATGAACATTTTCGGGTTTGTTGTTTGAAGCTTGGTTAGCTTGACCATGAGCGGTTTCTTGACTCATTCTACAATAACAGAAATTTCCTCATTAGAATTCTCTACTTGAACACACGAGTTGATAACATATATTTGTTCAAACAGACTTCATCGATGTTTAAGTCACTAGTCATTTTACTACAAGGCGTCACTCCATTCAACAAGGTTGAGTTGTCCATCATTTCTAACAAGTAGGTTCCTTTGAATTTGACCAAACAATTCGTCAATTCATAGTAAAGGGTAGCGATTCTTGATCATCAGTTTGTCTGTCTTATGATAGTATCTTTGACCGTAAGTCAATCTTAGAGAACACAATGTATTCTCTAAGCTGATCAAATAAGTCATAGATACAAGATAAGGATAACGATTTCATTTGATGGTAATTGATATGGAATTTAATCGATCCATCTTTGTTTGTGTACTCAATCGAGATGAATTCGGTCGGTTTAATAATCAGCTTTTCTTTCACCTATATTCTCTCAGCTTTTCTTTAATCGACGTTCAGCCAATTCATATTAAGGATATTGTCAATCTCCTTGTAGGGTATTCCGACGAGATTTTGTAAGGAATTTTCGATTAACGAATGATTTCGATTCACACAATATAATCGCATATTGTGCTGTAATGAATCGGACATCAGAATGGGATACAAAGTTTATTGACTCTAAACGTTCTCGTTTAAATCAGCAATCCGATCGTCTTCAGTCCACATGAGGATCTTTGACAGCAGCTTCGCAGATATTATTCAACATTAAACGTTTCTTCATAGTCGGGTCACTTTCGTACGTCCTTTCGATGGAGATCAGTTTCGTTATTCGCGATGCGATGCGTACGTTGATAACGTATAAGAGGTCGTATATTTTTTTTATTCTTTCGTCTCTTCACCGAGTACGAAAATTCAACTTGAGTATATGCTCGATATGATTTCAGTACTAACAAATGTTATCTAATGAGAATTCAATATAGTCAATATTTACTAAGTAAATTCTCATACCTTTTCCTGGAGCAGAGGGATGCGAGAGTCGTGGATGTGACCAACATTTTTTTTTAAAATCAAATTTTGATCCGAAGATTGGTTTTAAAACCATTTACTCTGATACCAAATTGTAACACCCTAATCCGTCCAGGTCTGCAGCCCTTTTCGGACTAAAGTATTAACTTGGTAATCGTAACAATTTAAAACTTTTTCAAACACTTTTTATTTATCACAATAATATTTTTCATAACAGATACAGTACAAAGTATTCAAAAATATTGCGGAAGCGAATTTAATATTGACATATCATAAATCATTTCAAACTTGTCACATCCATCCCGACAATCTCGCCCCATCTGCCACCAAGATCGCATTAATCTTTCTGTTTACCTGCGTGTAGCAAATAAAACACACTACGCGCTCAGCGGTAAAGCTGAGTAAGCATATGCGTCAAACATCCATATAAATTGAATCTAAATTCATATTCAATTCATTTGATATCATGCACACGATGTTCATTTCAGACATTCACAGTTTTGATAATGTGCATTTCATTTCAAACACATTTTATTCAATTCAAATATTATTTCGATAGTGCCCTTAAATTATTCTTAATCTAAGGCCAAATAATAACAATGCTCTTAGATATTCTTAGTCTAAGGCCAGATCATAATAATGCTCTTAAAAAGGCAATTAATTATCAGACACTTAAACTATCATTAGTTTAAGGCAGTTGATTTCGGACACTTAACTGTAGTCAGTTAAGGCAATTAGACACTTAAACTATCACTAGTTTAAGGCAAATGATTCAGACACTTAACTGTAGTCAGTTAAGGCAACAACAACAATATATCAATTGATCAACATTGGATCAAGCATTCCCAAACGAGTAATCCTCTAGCTTGGTCTACGAATCCCGTTTATATGTTTTTATCTAATTCATCGAATATTAATGTTTCACAAATCCATACTAATATGAGATCTATTCTAGAGGTCTTCTAGATAGCCTTAACATCAATTCTCTAAATGTGTATATCTTAGAGTTCCTCTAGATACTTTTAACACTATAAATCATTTCATAATTATAACTGTATTCATTTTACTCATGATTCAATCATAAATACTTATTTTAATTAGTAGGTTCATTACTGATAATCATCCATAATATTCATTTATCAAAATCAACAATTAACATAACAATTGATAACAAATAGCGGCCTAGCTTCGAGTGTTAACACCCGAACATACCGTCATGCAACACATAACATTTTTAGTTGTTAAAAACATCATTTTTATTGTGGTAAATCATTTTTATAATGATCCTAATCAATTGGTATCAAAAATAGGATTTTAAAGCTCCAAAAATAGCATTTTCAGACAAATTTTCGGATCAGGACTTCGGGGGATCGATCCAGCCCTCTGGATCGATCCATACTATGAAAAATCACTCCCAGGGGATCGATCCAAGCCCCTAGATCGATCCAAGCCCCTAGATCGATCGATTCATCTACTTCTTCGTTCGGGTCCAATTTCGGAAATACCATTTTTAGTTATCGAACTTCAACGAAACTATATAGAGATGTTCTCTAAGGTTCATAGATCATTTTGGAATCATTAATTCATAGTTTTAACATCAATTCCATGGTTTATGATTCTTGGTTCTTCAAGCATGTCAAACACAAAACTCAACCAAACGAGCGTTTATGAACGTAGAAACGATCTATACGAACATTCTAGTCATTAGATATATCTACGGGCTTACCTCGAAGGTAAATGAAGGTTTTGAATATTTTCCGGCGAAACTTCCGGCGACGATTACTCCCAACTCTGGCGACCTCTCACCAAATTGACAGCACTACAGCGTTCTCCTTACTTTGAGCAACAGAATAGAAGAAGGAAGTATATGTTTTGGTGAAGAATTGAGAATGCTTAGCTCCCTTTATATAGTGGATTTGAGGGAGAAGAAGACACTAGTTGGTGAGCGTAGGAAGATTCACAATCGGCTTAGTGCCCTGGCGCCGTTCGCACAGTGTCCCTGATTGGGACCAATTTTGGTTCCAGTTGGGGTACACTTTTTGGTTCAACTTTCTCCGAATTGAATTCCGTTTGCACCGTTATGATCGGGCAGTTAAACTCTATCCATTGATATAATTTTTATATTTATTTGTAATACTTTTTCCGACATCATATTTTTGGGTGTTTGACTTTGACAGAGTCAAAATTGATTTAGTTGATCTTTATTCAAAAAGGTTTCTCACATTTAATTCATATAATTTGTTCTAATGATTTATTTCAATAAATCATTTCAAAGTTCACATCATAATAATTTCTTCATATATTCTTGATTTGGGTCTGTACACAGNGGCAGTTAAACTCTATCTATTGATATAATTTTTATATTTATTTGTAATACTTTTTCCGACATCATATTTTTGGGTGTTTGACTTTGACAGAGTCAAAATTGATTTAGTTGATCTTTATTCAAAAAGGTTTCTCACATTTAATTCATATAATTTGTTCTAATGATTTATTTCAATAAATCATTTCAAAGTTCACATCATAATAATTTCTTCATATATTCTTGATTTGGGTCTGTACACAGATTCCCAATCAAGATCACATAATTAGTTAATATTTTGGATTTATCTCTATGAGACTTATCCTGATTGTAATATTCAATATTCAAACATATTTCATTTTGGCCCAAAGCCCAACAAACATTTATTCTTAATTAAAACAAATTTGATTAATTGATTATTTATTTATTAATAATTCTAAGGGAAAATTTTGGGGCGTTACATTGAATGAACTTGTTACAATAAAAACTTAAGTATTTATACAACGTCTTAAAAACGCCAATGTCGCCATCTTTAGAAACATCAATTCCTTTCTTGTGCTTTTTGTTCCTTCAAAGAAATTTTTCTATCTCTTTGAATCTTTTCACTTTAGTCCATGTTCCTGACGGTTTGTCAATATCAAAAGCTAAATGGAAACAAATATTGTCATTAGCAAAACAACAAAGTGAAAGTGTTTTCCAACACTCAAGAGGATAGACGAGCGTAGGCCATACCCGGATGTTTTTCCCGGATGAATAAAGATTATACCGTTGTGTAGGGTTCGACGGATCGAATCTAACGGTGAAATCGGATTTGGATTTGGAGTCAGTGGGCCCGGAAAGTTCGCTTGGGCCAGGTACGTTCAGTTAATACGGAACCCAAAACCCCAAAAGTATAAATACACCCCTTACACGCCCCAAACCCTCACGCCATATCATATTTACGTAACTCCCTTCCCACTCTCTCACGTCTCTCGTTTCTCTCGATCGAAGCAGCAGAGACGCACGCAGAAAGAGGAGAGGAAGAGATGGAAGAAGAGAAGGAAGAACGAAGAGGAAGAATCCGACGCTGTTGATTCGTGAGTACCATCTCGTAGCTTTTAATCGTCGAATTTGAGGTGAGTACATGGTCATCTAACGCATGGTTATATTCATAGGTTTGAATCTTACGTTCGTAGAATCGTTACAGTTGATCTATTTGGACTTTACGTGAATTATGTCTTGTTTGCGTAGTTTATGATGTGAAAAGCATGTTTTGGGATATCATGATTGGGGGATGGTTAGATAATGTTGGATTAATGGTTTATGATCTGTTATTCTTGTATTTACTGGAACTAAAGCTTTTTGATGGACGAAAATGGAGCTGGTGCAAGTCCGGTGTTCGCCGCGACAGACGGTAGGGGGGGGTACCGTTGACACGGTACCTGACTACTGCCAGCCTCCCGGGTTTCGTCTCTCTCTGTCGGTACCTGACTTAGGACGGGACCCAGGTACCGTATGGACGGTGGGCTCTACCGTCTGATCGGTAGAGGCTACCGTGACGGGCTACCGGAAGGGACCCCAGCTGACACGGTCGGTATCCCCGTACCGTGGGGACAATACCCTGGTGCCGTGGGGGCCAGGAACCCCTACCGCCAAGGGGTACCGTGAGGTACCTGAACCGGTCTGCGTTTTGTTGTTTGCGTCAAAGATTGATTCCGAGACCTTGTGTGTTGCATGACGGTAAACATGGGTGTCAACACCTAGTGTTAGGCCGCTGATTGTGTGTATTGAATGTGATGAAATTTGCGTATGATGCATGAACATGTAGGTTATGAACTAATGGCTAATTAGGGATGAAATACCTAGAACGAACCCTAGGAATTGACTTGAATGGAAATATTGGCAAGTTATGTCATAAGTTAGTAAGTTAGAGTCATGCGGTACCTGCTGGGTCCAATGACTGTCCGGGTAAAAACGTGTACACGAGGATCTAAGAACTGTCATTTCGAAGGGGACAGGGATCTCACCCACCCAACGAGGAACTCCCGAGTTGGTTGAGCTTGACCTTCGTTCCGAAGGGGAAGGTCATGACTCCATAGGCAAGTCGTATATGGTTAAGCTTTTACCTAGTATAGGTTAAGAGCCGAGCACAGAGAGAAAGTAAAGTAAAGTAAACAATGAAGAAAGTATTCTTTATTATGTCCTGTACTCATTAACATTATGTGATGAAATATCTGCGTATGTATGTTACACACTGTATGATGTGACGGATGTGTGAGCTGATTGTGTGCATGATATCGTATGAGGATATGGGCTAGTGGGATCATCTATGGGTATGGCTGTATGTTAGATATTTCTCACTTAGCTTCAATGCTGAGCCTCTAGCCCTTTTTCCTATTTGGTACACGTAGGTAATCCAGGAAATGATGAGCTTGGAGCCAATCCCGGAGGGCGATGAGGAGGCTGAGATGTGCGTGGCGGTGTTTGATGACTTTGAACTCTTATTAAATATTTAAATAACTTATTACTATTTCGGGCATGATTCCCAAGTTGTATTTTGGATTATGAATTAAGCTTCCGCAACCGTTTGATTTGCTCGGATGGATAATTAAATATCGTTTTGAATTAAATGTTTTAAATTGTTTGGAAATTAAATGGTGTTTGATTACCAAATTAGTAGCAACCCGGTTCGCTGATCTGAGTATTCGGGTTATGTGGGTTGGGGTGTTACATTTCGGTATTAGAGCTTATGGTTTTAAAACCGATCTTCGGATCACAAATAGATGGTTTCCAAAAGCTGCACCACATCTCTTGCGACTCATCAGCCCTGGGAAGGTAATAAGTTTATACCTTGTTTGTTATGTGCTAACGACTGATTAGGGATTTATGTGTGTAAATTTAGAATGAGTAACGCATGGATGCACGCTCATGACAACACCCAGCACCTGGGTGACGACCACAATGATGCCGAGACAGAGGCGTGAAGCTTCGTGCCACAGCAGAATGCTGGGCAGCCCAACGTGCCACTGAACGCAGGAGATAATCAGAATTTCGGGAACCCGCCGGAGAATGTCATGCCTGCTTTCATGACCCAGTTCCTGCAGCAGATGGCGAACGCGCCGATGTTCCAGCAGCCTCAGCCACCACAGCAACACATCACCTTCAAGACCTTGAAGGATAACGGAGCGGAAGAGTTCCTTGGGGATAGGGTGGCCGAACCCCAAGTGGCCCTCGATTGGATTGAGCAGGTGGCGAGGGTGCTTAATGATTTGGACGTTCCAGTTGCAGATCATCCAAGGTTGGCATCTCAGTTACTCCGCAAGGGAGCATACGAGTGGTGGAAACGTGTAGACAGTGAGCCGCTGATAAGTTCATTTTGTTCTTATTTTATTCTACATATTTTAAGCGTTATTGCACAAAAATAGTAATAAATTTACCCATTGAAAGTGTCTACTAGTGACAAAACTGATGTTTTGTCTCAAGAAGAATAAAATACAGGTTCTAAATTAAATTAAGTGGATTTGTCAATTTTATGTACAAATTGGATAAAAAGTTTTAGAGTTTAAAGATCATAATACTTTGAAGGTAGAAATCAGTGTCTAGGAGCCAATTGGGCCGATGCGGAACAACTTTGGGTCCAAAATCACGAGAAACCGCAATTGGAAGCAAATTGGGCGCTGGATTTGGGTCCTGGGCGTCCAAAGTTGGACGCCCGAAGAGGCTGGACGCCCAAGCTATCTTGTGACACGGCCTTGCCACGCGGCACAACGCGACTGGACGGAACACGTATTTTGGGTACGGGCGTCCAAAGTTGGACGCCCGTACTTCCTGCCCTATAAATACAGCGTTCCTCTCATCCATTACAACGATTCTCAACCCAATATCGGGTTCCCCTCTCTCAATTGCTTAAAATACTTTGTATATTAGTTTTAGTAGTAGTTTTAAAGTATTTTCCGGAGATTTTGACTCCAGATCTGTTCTGTTCCGCTTTACGGAGGTTGTAAGTTTTCTTTATTTAATAAAATGCTATTTTAATTTATGTTTGCATAGTAGAGTTAGGGTCCAGATCTCTGGGTCCGGACTAGTTTGGTTGTTTATTTTTGATGTTAAATTAATGTTGGAATGGTTAGTCAATTGCTCTTGCCTTATGTAGTTAATTATTGTCGAAAGATTTAATTAGCTATTTATTGAGAAAATATTGTATGCCAAAAGGCTACGATATTCAAGAACAACGGATTAAGTACAAATCTAGAAATGGATGAGTAGTAATAGAAATATTATTATTCCAATTGTTAATTTAATATGATAAAATAGATCCAAATGATGTCCAGACCCTAGGTCCAGATCTATACTTATACTATGTAAACTAAATTTATTATTTTTACTCTGCTCCCTTTTTATTCGTTTCGAGAAGACTTTCATAAACCAATCCTAATCTTCGCCTAATTAGAGTAATTAAACTAAATCCCTTCGTCCACTCCTCGAGAGATACGACACTCGGAGAGAAAACTAACCATTTACTGGGAAGGTTTACTACCCGAAAAACTACAACTGTCAAATGGCGCCGTTGCCGGGGAGTGGCACGGCATTAGTTTGATTTCTTCTGATTAGCTTGGGTGAAGATTGGTTAGAACGATCTTCTCACTTCTTTTTCACCAACCACCCGTAATAATTAT